GAAATGTTCTCCTTAGTACTCCAGGTAAGGGGAAGTATTACTAGAATTCTATTTCACAGTTCATCCAGATTACCACTGCCAAATGTTCTAGCAAGTATTTCTTACTCACGCTAATACTACTCAGGACTGATGGCAGGTTAAGCACAGAGTGAACTGTTCAGTCCACTTTCTTTGCCAGGGAGGAAGCAGCATTACTCTATCAAGGTTATCCTATTAGTTAATAGAATTCAAAATCACTCCCCATTTAGTGGTCATTTTCACTCTAAAACACCATTCTTATTATTAAATTCAATAAGATTTGCTTGTATTATATTACATTAGTATATTGCTTTTATTGTAAATACTTTTTATAAAATGAAACTCCAGAGTACAGACTATCGCTGCATATGTTGAATTACTACTGGTATTACAAAGCAAAATATACAGATAGAATTAATTTAGAAAGTAAACATGATGTCATACATGCAAAGTACCATCTCATATTCTGCAAAACCCTGACACTATAATTGGACACAGAACCTCTGAGTCCTAAATCTAACCTTCACAAGTGACTTAACTCTTCTTCATTTCCACGTGCTTAACCTGCAGAAGACCACCAACTGCGCTGGGTTACCGTGAGGAAGAAATGCGACCATGCATGTAAGACACTCTCAGAACAGTGCCCAGCACTGAGAGGCACTGGTCGCCAGGGCTGTGCTGCCATGACGACTGCAGGGAAAAGCAGGCAGTGACCCCACCTGGAGTAGCTAAACTTGAGCAATACAGCAGTCTTTAAAAGTCCTTCCAAAGAGTGAAATGAGAACACCACAAAAATAAAACAAGCAAAACTTATAAAAACCATATAAACTTATTCTCCAAAGTCTAGTGTATTTTATCACAATTTTTTTAAAAAGTTTAAATTCACCCTAGCTGGCGTAGCTCAGTGGATTGAGCGCAGGCTTCGAACCAAAGCATCACAGGTTCGATTCCCAGTCAGGGCACATTCCTGGGTTGCAGGCCACGGCCCCCAGCAACTGCACATTGGTGTTTCTCTCTCTCTCTCTTTCTCTCTCCCTCCCCTCTATGAAAATAAATAAATAAAATCTTTTTAAAAAGTTTAAATTCTGTTATGACTTGAGCATACAAAGTCTAAGATTTCATACACAAAACATTTGCCACTTCATCTCTCAATATCCTGAAAACAGAATACATCTTTTAATAAGAATTAACTAATATTTTAATTAAAAAAGAGGTAAGAATGTTCATTAGCATTTTTTTTGCAAAAGTAAAAAATTGGAAGCAGGCTAATGTCTACCAATATAAAAAATACATGAAAAACTTAAACAGCTACAACAGAATGAGGGGGATTTATGTACACTAATATGGCAGGATCTAAGACATGATGTCAAGTTAAAAAAATGCAAAACATAAAGCATGACTATGTTTAGACAACCAAAAATAACTTATGTTACATGCATACATATTTATGCACTTAAATTTATACACAAAACATCGCAAGTATGCAACCAATGACCTCTGGGCTCTACTCTCCATAATTCTGTTACGTGACTATTTCAGCGAGACTGTCTTCATGCAACACAGTCACACCTCAGTACGCGCTGGCTTCAGACCGCGTCAAACCCAATCCCCGTCGCATTCTGACAACGAAGAAGTGTTGCAGTGCTCGGCGCTCGCCCGGGCCCCGTCACACTGCCTAGCACTTGTAGCAGCCACGGCGCCTCCCCACAAGAGAAAATGCTTCATCGCTCATCACTTGCTCCCCACTCGTCAGTTTCCCAAAATGAATTAACAACGAGTACCAAGGTACCACTGTATTTGTGCAATTTATGAACCCCAAGGAAAGTGAGCCGATAAATACTCTAGGCTAAAATCAAGTAAAAATAAGTTTTAGAAAGCACTATATAGTTTATAAAAGGATTTTGTAATCTTTTAAATAAATCCTTGAGCATATTACCTAATTCAATCCCTACAATAAGCTTCTAGAACTTAAGGTCACATCCTCACTTTCAAAGCGAGAACAGACTCAAGTATTTACCAATTCACAAGTAATAAATGCAGGGCCCAAATGGAAACATGGTCTCCTGGCTCTAGATTCAGTGCTCTGGTCTTCAGGCTGCGATGCCCCCACAAACTGGAAATGCTGGATCGACACCACGGCTCTCTGAATCTCCACAGTGCTACTCTCTCTTCACGTGAAAGTTCCTAGTGCAGACTTACTTGGTGAGGTATGAGCACACTTATTAGAAGCTCCCCAGGTTATTCTAAGGTGCGGCTTGGCTAAGACCACAACTTTAAGACTTAGCATCCTTATCTGATAAAAAATAAGATATAAAAATCACTTGTGCTAGGTACGATATTTCACAGAGTTGAAACGAGGGATGAATGTTACATGGCAAAGCCTCTTATACTCAATAAACGCCTTACAAACGTAAAGGAACTATTATTACTTAGTCATTCAAACATGTGCCGCATCTTCTATGGCCAGGCACGTGCTTGGGATGGAGAGGAGGGGCACTGCCCTCAAGAAGCTGGGAAGCGACCACGGCCTCAAATTACTAGTGAGCAGCCGGGAAACCAGAGCAGCAGCACCAAGACGTGATGGCCAGCCCAGCCTTGGGCCCGAAGGTGCACAGGGGTGATGGTGGGAAGAGGGCTTAGGAAGCCCTGCACGAGGAGACCTTAGGCTAGATCCTGGCACTCACATCACACCCAGGCACGTATATTCAGGACAGCCAGGGGTTCTCAGAGAGAGGTGTCGGGACCCTGGAGGTACTTGAGACCTACTCAGGGGGTCTGTGAGGTTAAAACTATTTTAATAATACTACTAAGATACACTGCCATCAAAAACTGTAGAAACAACCCAAACTCCCTCCGGCTGGTAAATAGACAAACGGTAGTATATTCATACACTGGAATAAGACTCAGCAACAAAAAGGAATAAGTTAGTGATACACACAACAGCATGGATGAATCTCAAATGCATTATGTTAAATGAGAGAAGCCAGACTCAAAAGGCTACAGGCTGTATTATTCCATTTACGACATTCAGGCAAAAGCAAAACCAGAGGGCTAGAAAATAGGTCAGAGGGTGCTGAGGCTAAGGGTAGGGGAACATTTTGGAGTAAGGGAAATGCTCTATAACTTCACTGTGGTTACACAGCCACATGTTTGTCAAAAACCCAGAGAAGACCTGTACACTGAAAAGGGTGGGTTTCACTTTATATGTCATACCTCAATAAAACAAACTTTTAAAAATAATACCATGCCATTTGCCCTTTTCACTTGTACTTCCTCTTAAGTGTATGTTCTCCAGAAGCTGCATGACTGTGATGATGTCATCACTCTGCACTAAGGAAATATAAGCTTATATATTCTCATGCTTTAAAGTTTTCTCTGTTGTAATTTCTAATATAATGAATAGTGAAGAATATAATCATCCTAAATAAAAACTCTCTCGTGGCTTCCATAATTTAACAATATAAAGAGTTTCTGAGACCAAAAGGTTTGAGAATCACTGCTATAGATAATGGGGAAGCCCTGAAGTACCCTAAGCAGAGAATAACAAGACCCAACTTTACAAAGAATGGTACCGGGAAACTGTTAAGAATTTCGACGAAGTTCTGATTAAGGCTGATGCCAGCCTGCACTGGAAGAAACTATGTCCACACATCATCCATACTGTGTTATGAATCCCAAGCCAGTTTCTCCCAAGCCAGCTGTCTCTTTGTTGATGTGCTGCTGATGTTTTGCAGACTAAAGCCTGTTAACTGATAATATAGTTAGGAAACTAAATCTGCTACAAAAGGCATCTTACAATGCACTACTAATAAGTTATTTCTGAAATTTTAATTGATTTTTAGAGAGAGAAAGGAAGCAGGAAGAGAAAGAGAGAAACATCAGTTTGTTGTTCCACTTATTCATGCATTCATTGGTAGTTTCTTGCATGTGCCCTGACTGGGAATTGAACCCCTAACCCTGGCATATATGAATGACGCCTTAACCAACTGAGCTAACTGCCACAGCCCCTCTTCAAACAATGCCAGTAATTTAAAACTGAGTTTCACATATTTTAAAATTAGAAAATCACCATCCTAAAGAGGTATAAAAACAAATTTAGATTCAATACCTCAAAATCAATTAGGAAAATTAGGTAATTGCTTTAAAAGCCAATATATTACTTTTCTAAAATGTGCTTTCATTTGTATCCAGAAACACTATGACAATCCCAACTCAGCACAGTTATTTTCTGTGCAATCAATGTGGGGTTTGGGCGGTCTGCCTTGGGGGGTTTGGTCTTTGTGAGGGTGGGGGCGTAGGTTTTTTCAGAGTCTGGCTGTGGGAGAGGGAGTGTGTGGTTTTGGTCTGCACAGTTCCCTCTCCTCCTGGGGGAACTTCACTTCTAAGTACTAACCCTGTGAACTGTACACTGTTTCAAGTACAGACATCTTCTCTAATCCTCTCATGCCCACAACTATTACAAGTACTTTGGGATGTCACAAAAGTAGCAATATTAACCTTAAAACCGTCCATGTTAAAGACATGGATGGATGGGCAGATGGGTGGATTGATGGATGGATGGATGGACAGATAGATAGGCAAATGATAGATCAATTCATCAGCCTGGGAGGGAAATGGCAGATATTAAAAGAAAGGATGATTTCCTTTCCCTTAAAAAAACAAAACAAAACAAAAAAACACTTAAACACAGTTTTACAAGCCACTTTAAATGGGCACACACACGCATGTGTGTGTGTTTGTGTGTGTGTGTGTGTGTGTGTATTAACTGCCACCACAGATTGCTTCTCTAAATGTTTTAAGTAACCAACCCCATTAACACCTCTTAAGTAATCCCCAACGTGTGAAAACCTACCTGGAGAATTCAATTTGCCATCTTGTAAAAAAATTCACCTATACTTTCATTCATGTGAAAGAAGGTAAGGGTAAGCCTAGACTTCTGCCAAAGTAGCTGTGTATTATTTAAAGTAAAATTAGATCCTTACCTGAAAGTACAGTCCTTTTGATCTACTTCTTATAAAAATATCTTGAAAATCAGGTTACAGTCAGTACTACAGGAGATTCAAATTTGAAACTGAACCTATGGATTGAAAAGAGGGGAATAATTAATTTGAAATACATGCACAATGAAGAGAAAAACATCAGTCTGATCAAAGATGAAATTTCCGTACACTTGTTAAAGCCAAATGGTTTCTGCAGGAAACCTGTTTTCTGTGACTCAAATCCAAAATGGAAAACGTGGGTGGTTCTTCCTGTCTTACTATTAAGAGTCAGCCAATTGGCTGATGAAGTTTTCACACAAATGAAGCTCAAACTCTAGCCTTCCATCTGCTCTAATATTGTCATACCTTAGCAAAATAAAAGAGGAATAAAGGCCTTCTTCAGCCTCACAACAAGTCTTTTTTTTTATTTTATTTATTTGTTTTAAGACGGGGAAGGAAGGGAGAAAGGAGGGAGAGAAACATCAATGCACAAGAGAAACATCAATCAGTTGCCTCTCGCATGCCCTACTGGGGCCCTGACCCACAACCCAGACATGTGCCCTGACCAGGAATTGAACTGGTGACCTTTTGGTTTGCAGGACGATGCCCAACCCACTGACCCACACAAATCATGCTCACAATAAGTCTTTAATGGCTTATTCTATCTAGACCATATCTGAGCAAACTGCCAAGTTCTTCAAAACTTCCAATCCAGAAGATATAAAAAATAATGAGAGCAAAATCACAAAATAATTCTCTGACTTTCAAGCTATGATTTCTAAAAAATGAGAAGTGAATCTCTTTGGAGTGCTAAGCTACAATAACAACACACCTGTGGAGCAGGGGCTTCCAGCCCAGTCGTCTTAACCACAGCTGCACTTCTTCCCCACCCACAAGTCACTCAGCATTTGTCAAGACGTGCCTGTCAACACACTCCATACATTAACTTCTAAACATGACTCTGCCAGATTGGGGTAAGACTCCAATAATTCGGTAGAGTACAGCTGCCTCTCCACCTAGAGCTAGTACACCAGCTGGTGAGATGCGGACTTCACTGAAAACACAGACAACGGAACGCCTTCCAGGAGAAAAGACCACGGGTAGACGATACCAGCATAGTAAAACGGTCGTGTGCAGTAAGTCCTCCCTTAGTGTCATCAATAGGTTCTGCAACTTTAAGTGAAATGGCATATAATGAAACCAGTTTTGCCACAGGCTGTTACAAATAAAAGTTAAGTTATAACAGGACATCACGAGAGGACCTGCTGCATACACGTCTGCTGAGGCCTCCTTACATTTACATCTACAATCAACAAAAAGCTTGCAATCACGAGGCAATAAAAAATCAGATGGCTACGTCCAACATGAGTACTAGGATTCCAAGTGGCAAACTGCTCAGGGGTAGCAACTGTCCATTACCTAAAGATCCCAGGCCCAGCATGAAAATTCCCCATGTCTTAGGAGGTTGCCTCAACAATGCTAAGAGGCTCACAGAGTCACCCTGCTTGGCAGCAAAGGACCTTTCTAAAGCCACCAGTGACCGCTCGGCAAGCTTTTGCATGATTCTCTGGTAGCCACGCAGGAGAACCCACTGACCAGACTACAGCAAGGGGCACTAGCGACCGGAATAGTCATCTCAAAGGAAGTGCTTTGTGTGGAGACAATGAAATTTGAAATACGCACAACAGTTTGTATGTTTAAGTTTTAGAAATTATGTGTATGGAGGCATTAAGCGGATCTTGAGCAAATACAGATCATAGCATTCCGAGCTGGAAGAGACCTCAATATCTCATTTACCACTGCAGAACTTTCATTTTACACGCAATGTTAAGTCAAAATCTCCTGACTGCCAGCTTAGTGTTCTTCCTACGACAGCCTGCTCTCTAATCGATATTTTGGAGCACATTAAAATGAAGTCACTACTCAGCTGCATGATAAATCTCATTTAACTGTGTGCTACAAGAGAACAATTTAGATAAAAGATTCAAGTATCCTCTGCTGAGGAAGGGGTAGGGTGGGGATTGGCCGTCTTTCTCCATACAAGTATGGTCTAATTTCATGGTCAGGAAAAAGTATGCACAAATTCTATAGACAAATCATCTCTCTCTCTCTTTTTACGCAATCACTTCCAAATTACTACCTCTAGCGAAAAGATGCAAAGACACAGTATCTTAGTTCATTTACACAGAATGTTAAAATGACAAAGACAGTAATGCTTTCTTCTCAAATTGAGGTTTAAAATATTTTCTACATCAGATATTTTCACTGTACTATAAGTAATTCCCTCTAATGTAATATATTTAACATCAAAACAGTTCAAGTAGATTTATTTCCGTTATTTTCTTTAATAAAACTCTGATTTCTTTTTAAACATTTCTAGGACAACAACCAAAGGTGATTTTTCTTTTTTGGCGTTCTTTTTTTGTTTCTTTATTAGGTTTGATAGAAAGGGATGTAATCAAATAGGATATGATACATTCAAGGCGAGTAATGTGCTGTTTCCCAATACCCAGACAGCAATGAGCCACCTTTGAACACAATTTTCCTGCCACTGTCTATGTAGCCACCCACAGCCAGGGAGCGACCTGTGCTTTCACAGAAGGAGTTGACAGAGCTCTGGGGACCGAGACCTGGCAGTAAGCAGAAACCTGTGGCCAGGGAAGCGGCGTTCACTCACTGATGAGAGAGGTGCACAAATGTCAGCACACAGCGGAATCACCTGGGCTCCCACCCCAGCCCCTCCGATTCAATGGGAGTGGGCAGGGGAGGGGGGTGCAAGAATTTGTACTCCTAACGTGTCTCGGTAACCCTGGTCTTTCACTCAGTTCACTTCCTCAAATTCCAAATGACAGTTCCTCAAACAAGCACATTTTTTGTAAACAAACAAACAAAAAACCACATGCTTATAAGCATAAAAACAGAAGGCCATAGTAATTTCTATAGAATGAAATATCTGCATGAATTTTTAAATTTTTTAAGATAAAACATAAATCTATACATAAATTTATCATTGTTCCCTGGATTACCTTGAAAGACAGGTTTATACACACCTCTCCTATTAAGAATACTTCAGTAAAAGTTTGTGACAAAAATTAGTAGCAATTCTGCCATGAACTATAGGTATGTCCTTTAAGCTTTGTCTTAACATCTCCCTAAAACGCTGAGTATCACCTTTATTTCCTTTGAATTCTAAAAGTCAAGTATATCTTTAAATAATAAAATTAGCCTTCATAAACTATATTATACCCTAGAACTTACTTGGAAACTATCTCCAGCTTTGCTAAATGAAAATTTTAGGACATTACAGACTGTAATTGCATGAAATGTACCTCCTTGTCTCATGTCTCAGCTTTTCCAAACAGGTTCCCAACGTACTCTCCCATCTGGATGGCTCTGCCAAAGCATTTTTCCATTCTGCAGAGACCCCAGTTCCTGCCTCTGCCCTCCCTGGCACTCTCAAACCTGTTTGTTTTTGCCACAATGTAGAAAATAAAAATAAATGAGTAAGTGGAAAAAAAGAAAAGGAAAACCTAAATCGTTTAAAACCAGCTAATGTTCAAGTCTGCATTTCAAAAACTCTGTGTTTTTATCATCTAGTAATCTAGACTTGAATATCTAAAGAATGTGTTCTTTAGTAATCTAGATTTTAATAGCTAAAGAATGTGTTCCACTGATAATATCTGAAAATGTTACGATTTTTTAAAAATCTGAATCCAAGTTCCCTGTTGACTGCCAAAAAAGCAGTCAACAGAAGGGGGTTCCAGAATACCGTATATAACACAACTTAACACTTATCTTCTTTATGTTCCAACTGATGATTCTGCCGTCCACAATGAGTTCATGAATAAAGAACCACTAGGGTTGAGAATCTATGTCTTTACTGGTAGGAATCCTGAAGAGAACCTGCGTTTGCCAAGTTCGCTCACTTAACACTGATTACTGCATACCCAGTACAGGGCAGACACTCTGCTCCTCACGCTAAGGCTACACAAACTGAGAAAAGCCTCCCTTTATGGAGCTTGTCGCCTGCAAGGGACACACCACGCACAATAAACATCAGTATATAAATTACATGGGACATACACACATAATGATAGAGGGAATATGTGCTATTAAAAAAAAAAAAAGGCCAGACAGCAGAGTAAGAGGGTTCAGGAATGAATGGAGGGGAGGGGGGGCTACGGTCTTCGACAGAACAGGTCAGGGGACGACACACGGCAAAGGTGGGTCTGGGCAAAGAGTTGGAGGAGGTGGCAAACGAGCCAGATTGAAGTTTCCTGGTAACACTGACCTCGTGCTGACTATGTACAGAACGACGAACGCCTTCCGCAGAGAGCTGTGTGCGGCACATTCACCAACAGCCCCGAAGAGGAAACAGAAGAGAGCTGCAGACAAGCCCCCTGCATGTGTGCGGCTTGGTTTACCAGCTGAAACATACACCTCCGACTAGATAGGCTCATTGTGCGTTTTTCCCCGAGTGTGGTTTTGAACAAAATTCTTACTTCTGTGATTCATTTTCCTTATAGCTCAAGAACAAATTTCCAAGTATTCACTTGACAGAAACAAGTTTTATGATTTCAAATGCATGCTGTAATGAGCAACTGTTATTCAAGGGACTCGAAACTTTTGATCCATTCTCACCACAGGGTAATAGTTCCCTACTGAGTAAAGCCCACCTTCCCATGTAGAGTTTAAAAAAGAAACAAATGAACAAATCAGAGATGGGAGGATTACGTGTCCTGCCTCCCCACCCTTTAGCACAGGAAAACTTACGGATTCTGTTCTGCCAACCAGACACAACACAGGGGACTCCTTGAGAACAGAGCTACCTGGGGAAAGAAGCAAGATGGCCGAATACATGGCATCCAGTCTGCTGGCAGACAAAAGCAGAGAGACCCTGGCCCTGGCTTCCTGCTGTGCAGCACGCTGGCCTCGGCAGCGGAGGGCAGCAGCCCCTTGGAGGGCCAGTCCCACCGTGCAGCACTGGCAACCACTCCCTTTCTTCAGCCCTGCTGATGATCTGCTAAGCTGTCTACCACCCTTAATAAACCCCTTTGTGCTTGCATGATCTAGAATATAATAGATCTTAGTGTCTGTA